CCAGCCTAATGTTTTTGCATGGTAGCTTTTTCTGGAAGAATGCCAGTTAGGGGACTTGCCTTATGGGTATGTTCTGCTATTACTGATCTTGCAATAAATAACAAGATTAGTTTTCAGGAGGATGAGATTCCAAGGAAAATAATCTGTAAACTATTAATTTCTAAATGTTGGCAATACTTCTTAGAAATAAGCAACCACATGATACCTAACCCAAGAAAAGTTCTTAAAAATCAAGAACGATTTTCTCAATCATTAATGGAGCACCATTTGAAAAGAGTTTTCAAAGCCATTACATTAATCCATTAGGAGAGGTATCAAACCCTGTTTTTGTTTTTGATGTCACCTCATCTTGCTTTTCCATTCTCAGACCTGGCATCTGTCACTTCACCTGGTCCTAGAAGTGCTGAGTCACCAGGACACCAAGGAGATTCGGGCCCACGTACTGAGAAACATACCGTAAGAGTAACCCAGCGAGAAGGTATGTAAAACAAGTCAATGACTAATTGCAAAACCTGAGCCTCTTCTGCATGGCAAGGGCTTACAAAATGTTCTGTCCTATTGGACAAGGAGGGAATTCAAAGTGATGTTAATTGTAGTGTTGCCATTCTGTTCCCTTAGGTGGATCTCCACGTAATAGTCTTGAGGTTTTAACCCCAGAGGTTCCTGGTGAGAGGGATCGGGGAAACTGCATTACATCACTTCAGCTCCATCCTAAGGGATGGGCAACACTTCTTCGATGTTCAAGTAACACTGATGATCAGGAGGTAAAAGTAGGGTGATGATAATGGTGCATATGTATGTTGATCATGTTCTTGCAGAAAAACTGGAGTGTCAACTCATAAAACATTTTCTATACACGTTTTATATTTGCCAACAGAAAGAGGAGGGAAGAGTTTCAAAGAGCAAGCAGCAGTGTGGAATCGAAAGTACATTCCATTCATATTTTCTTCAGAGACTGATTAGATGACTGAAGCTTCTGCTGCGCAAAAAATTAATTGGAGAGCATGATTGATGACTCTTGGCTATGGATGTGTTTCATTGGAGAATATGAATTGGGGTGGGGGTGGGGAAGCAGGATCAAGGGTGACAGTGAATTACATGTCTCAGAGTTGACTATGCCCAGGTCATGCCGACATGTTGACTTCCAAAAAATCCCTTGAAATTTTGGGAGTTTGGCTCGAGAGTGATGATTTAATTGGGGTAACTGCCAGAATCCTGATATGGAGGTCTTTTGCCTATTAATGGAATAGAAGCAAATTGTCACTCCATTGATAAAATGAGAAATATGGAACAAATGTGGCAGCAGTGTATACAATTGTAATCTTGAGTTGCAGTGTTTGCTTCACTTGGATCATTTGAATGATGTGGTGAACTTAGCTTGACTGAAAACGATGCAGTTGAACATCTGGTTCATTATTTTGCTTCATTCTCATCATCTTTGAAGGTGATATCATGTTCTCCAGGGGAGGGATCCAAATTTCTGAACAACCGGATCTGGGTGGGTGTGGCCTAATTTGTGGGTGTAGCTTGGTGGTCATGTGACTGGCTGGGCATGACTTGTATGTAAATATAAATATGTTAATATTGCTTTTTTTTATTAAAAAAGAACAACTTTTACCTAAAATCAGGCAGAGCAGGCAGGCAGATTGAGTTGCTCACAGAATCACAGATTCACTCAGAGATCTATGTTTTTGCCATCTGCTACCTAAGTCTGCACTGAATAATAGAAGCTCCAGGCTCAGCTCTGCTTTTAGATTAGCAAGAAAGCAAGAAATCCAACAATTTCTTGGGGAGGGGGGTAATAGCGACTTAGCAGGTAAGTTTGATGGCACACATGCCATGTAAGGAGTGAGTGGGCGGGGCCAGCCCGTGGCATGATTTGCTGGTTCTCTGGCAGGTAGAATCCCACCCCAATGAGAGTGCGTTTTGCACTCATGTAGACCATTTCCTAAAAACCTCAGCTGTGCCACCTGGACAGCTGACAAGCACTGCGCAAAGCAGCTGAGGTTGAAAAAGCAGGAAATAAAGGACAGCCAAAAATCCGGGCAGGTGGCTGGACCAAACAGAGCTACCGATTCTATAGAACCAGGCCGAACCAGTAGCATCCTACCCCTGTGAAATGATTGAAAGCCATGGAGAAAATCCTATTCTCAGCTTGTTTTGCTTCCAAGAATTCAGGATAGACTAAAGGAAATACAACTGTGTAATGAATTGAGTACAGTTGTACAGACATAAAGGCAGTCCTCAACTTACAACCACAATTGAGCCCAAAATTTGATCCTAAGCAAAATGAGTGAGTTTTGTTTCATTTTATGACCTCAGTTGATAAGTAAATCTCTGCAGTTGTTAAATTAGTAACACAATTGTTCAGTGAATCTGGCTTTGCCATTGACTCTGTCAGAAGGTTGCAAAAGGTGATCTCATGACTCCAGAATGTTACAACTGTTATAAAAATGAGTCAGTTGCCCAGCATCTGAATTTTGATAAAGAGACCATGGGGATGCTGCAGTGATCATAAGTATGAACAACAGTGCTGTTGTAACTCTGAACTATAATTAAGTGAACTGTTGTAAGTGGAGGACTATCTTTATCAGAGCCCAATAGCTTAGATGGCTTGAAAGGGGATTAGAAAATTCATAAAGGACAAGGTTTCATATGAACTCAATAGTTAAAAAGAAATGTCTGTGTTTATAAAACGTATTTTTCTGAAGATTTTCCTTACTACATTTAGGCACTTGTTTAGTCATTAAGAAAATACTGAACTCAACAAGTTTATAACCATAGTTTACAAAGCATTGCTATTGCTTATGCCCATGTAATTAACTGTTAACATAACATTGTGCACAGTTATACTGAATGAGTCTAAATAACAGCAGGTAACCAATCCTGGCTAATTTAGAAAGGGTTTAGAGGTCTATTTAATATTGAAATGGGAGACAACAGGGAAGTACTGCTAGACTATCCATATTGTTACAAGAAAGGCTCCATGAAATGGGGGGGGGAGGGGGGGAGAGTGAGTATTATGCAATATCTATATTGATATAACATTAAGTGTTATTTTCCCTCTACTTCCTGTAGTGGACCTGTGTTTATGAATTCCAAGAAGGAGCACCAGTACGGCCAGTTTCCCCTCGCTGTTCCCTCAGATTGACTCATTGCATCGAAGAAGCCAATGTAGGCCAGGGCTACATTAAAGAACTCTGTTTCAGCCCAGATGGCCGGATGATCTCCTCCCCACATGGCTACGGAATCCGTTTGTTGGGGTTTGACACCCAGTGCAGCGAACTGATTGACTGCTTGCCCAAAGAAGCTGCCCCCTTGCAGGAGATCCGTTCACTCTACTCGCATGGGGATGTGGTTCTGACTACCAAGTTCTCTCCAACACACTGTCAGATTGCCTCTGGGTGCCTTAGTGGTCGTGTTTCTTTATATCAGCCAAAGTTCTAAGCTCCCCTTGCCTTCAAAGGAACATCTCTGTTTTTTTTAATTACTTCAGTTTAGTTGGAGTGTTTGCTTTTTTAAAACAAGTCTTGTAAATTTGGACAAGTACAGAGTTAATATTGGACTTAAAACTGATACCAAGTCCAGTCCTTTATGTGTGCTGTGACTGAATTTGCACATTAGATTTTTGTGTACATGATATCTCTCCGCTCCTGATAATTCCATCCGTAATTAGAGGTAGCTTGGTAGCCCTTGTCAACCTTGTTTTTTCTGTGTGTCTCTTGGTGCAAGATGTTGGATGGGCTTGAAAGGAGGGGAAACAACCAGTTATATAACCTGTCTGCTGCTTTGTATCAAAGGAGTGGAGATCAGCTCACTTGGATTCTTTGATTTCTGGATTTTGCTGTCTATTTTCTCCTAAGTAATAGAGCACTTTCTTGCACAATAGACTAATTATAGCCAGCATTTACATTATTTTTTCGTGAACAACTAAATAGATTGTTATTGTTACTTTTTTGTGTTTTTCTGCTGTGGTTCAGTTTGTAGGCTGGTACTCTTTAAGAATTGTGCAGTGTTAATTATCACTCTGTGCTCCCACACACAAACTTCTCTCATCTAGGCCCGTCCTTGACTTGCTGGAGAAAGTTTATTGGAAACTGAATAACTTAACATTTTTCTTTCACAAATCTGTTAAAGGAGCATCTTCTGTTAAATTATTGGACATAGATTGGAGAATGGAGTATGTGCCCAACCATATATATTTACAATCCAGCAGGAAATCCTACCCCAAAAACCTCAGTGAAGTGAACAGGAGTTTGTAAGCAAGCAAACTGTGGTAGACCTTCTGTGGTAGACCTGGTAACCTTCTGTTCATTTAAAAGAGGCTGGTGCTGGTCCTGAAGCTTTGGGTCCTTTCTTGTGATGGGTTTCATCGCAACAAAGGACTTTGAAATTGAATAAAATCTTTTTTAAAAAATGTCAGTTTTTAAATGAATGTTGCTCAGTGCTGTACTTACGTTTGCAACCTGATTAAGGCTAGTTGGCTTTTGATGTGCTTTGCAAGCCACACACAGGTAAGCTATAGCATGTGGGGAAAAAAATCCTTACTGTGCACACCTTACTCCATATGCTGTAAGATTATAGATAATTTTGTGTGTGTGTGTGTGTGTGTGTGTGTGTGTATGTATGTATGTATGTATGTATGTATATGTGTATATGTATGTATGTATGTGTATATATATCAAGTTTTCGCGGGTACTTACATGTATAGAATTCAGCTTTGTTCGGGTGTTTTCCCACGTCATTATAGTTGTGCTTTTAAAATTGTAGCAACGTTTTGGCCGAATCTCATCTGCCATCATCAGGCTTCTGTATGTATAGACGAACACAATACAGAAGCCTGATGATGGCAGATGAGATTCTGCCGAAATGTTGCTACAACTTTAAAAGCACAACTATAATGACATGGGAAAATACCCGAACAAAGCTGAATACCATATATACATATATATACATATACATATACATATACATACATACATACATACATACATACATACATACATACATACATATAATTATCACCAGCTGTATATGAAAATCAAAAGATTTTGCAAAACTAAATATTTTCTTCTGTTCCAAGAGTAACACATTTTACTAGCATATTTGCATGTGAGAACATGTTATAATAACTTGGCAGTGATACCTCTAAAGATGTTTTAAAAAAATCAAATGTCTTCTTTTGCCCAGTAGTGGCATAAGCAGAATTGCTTATACTAGAAGATTGCTGAATTTCCATTGAATGTGAGATACATAGAACATAAATTAATTATGTGTCAATTTCTGCAGACATGCAAGTAAGATGACATGGCTCCCTGGAATTTACATGTAAAGTGTTCAGTTAATTTAGAGCCATTTGGAGACTTAAAAGTTTTTGCCAGACTCATTCCTATCTGTTTAAACCGTCTAAAACTCGTCCGCATGACATTTTTCTATATGGTGTCCTGGAAATTAACATGATTGCATGCCTGAACGATCATTTTTAAAAGAAAGTGATTTTTCCAGTAGGAGGAGAAGTTTCATTTAGCAAGTAGCTGCTGTGCAAGTTGTTCTGAAAATTATGCCAAAAACAAAATATATTTATAAAGTTGGTCAGAAGAATATCAAATTTGGGATAATAGATGTCTATAAATGCTGTTCTGGAAAAAAAATGTGTTGACTGATTCTCAGAATTGTTAGTGTAGACACTTTATTAAGAAACATGTGGCATAAGGGACTAGAATGTAGCTGTTGATCACCATATGCTCTGTTGATGATTTAATAGATTAACATAAATACGAACAAGCCCAGAGCTATGCTGTCTGGAATATATTTTAAGTTAGACATAGGATGGAATGGCAGACAATACCTACACTTCTTGTTCTTCTGTGATTCAGTCTTCATTTAATATCATTCATCATAAGAGTTGAGTTTCTAGCCATCTATTTTAATGGCTAGAATGATTTTTTTTAAATCTAAAATCTGCTTAGCCAGGTGGTGTATTGAAATGGTGCTCTTGTGTATGTGAGAGAACAGTAAACAAACATATTGTAACTGTGAGATGAATACAATTTGCATTTAAAATTAAATAGAAATCACTTTTTGCTGGATGATCTGAATTAGATATGCCCACATAATCTGTTCTTGAATTTTAAGATGAAATCAGATCTAAAATCAGTTTGCAGATCAAAGCTCTGTTGTTTGAGTCCAATCTCACTTTTTTATTTTTAATGTATTCTTAAATTTTTTTAGAATATTTGAATTTCTGCTTAAATTTTATGTATATTCCCAAAGGCATTAAAAATACAAGAACAGCTGAGCCAGAAAACCAAAAAATAGAAAATGCTGGTTGTTGATTACTCTGCCTCTAATTGGGCTGCAGAGAGAAGTACTGCAGTCCATGGCTTATCATAAATAATTAGTGTGTAAATTAAAAAAATATGTGGATAGATCAATTATTGGAATAGGAAATGGACAGCAGGTCCTTGAAACCTTGTTAAGATTTCAAATGAATGGCAAAGCAAATACATAGACAGTAGTATCATAGGTATTTGGTCCATTTGTACATTGAATGTTGGGACACACTCTCTTCCTTCCCCCCAACCCCGAAATCTCTTTTAGGGTAAGCAATTAAACAGTCTTCCCACAGCATCTAAACTATGATTCCTGTATTCCTGCCTCTTTTGTTTGGAGGTTAGGCTGGGATAGAGGGAGAAATGTCTGTGTGCTTGACTCCCTGTCTTTTCTTTTTCAATTAGAAATCTTCCTGTACAGTTGCTTCGTTTTGACATGAGTGTGTATAATTTTGGATGTCCAGTCAGTAGTAATGTTCCAAAACTACACTTTGTGAGAACTGGCATATTTTCCAGGCTCTGAAAACATTATTCTTAAATTTTGTAACTAGTTATTATATTTACAGAGTAAATATTTACAGCTTTTGACACTTATCAAAAGTAAACCTAAGGCCTAATGAATTTACAGAATAAGAAGGAAATTCTTGGTATGCCAGATTTTTTTAAAGGAGCAGGGTGATGCAAAGAAGATTCATGGTACTTAAACTGCATGTAAGTGCAAACCAGTGATTATGAATCAGAGTTTTATGTATGTATGGGTTATTAATTCTGCACTAAGAAAAAATATATACATAAAATGCAAAAATCCCCTTAGTCCAGCTGCCAGAATTTGATTTCTGTTTATCTTTTATGCAGGATAAGGTTGCATAAAAGTGACTCCAGATATTAAAAATAAGTATTTTGGGGATAAAAGTGTAGCTCCTGTGTTTTAGCATGTTCCCGTGAAACTGTGACTTACCCATGATGAAAGGTTCTTTGACTAGTCAGGAAAGTTTGAGAAAGTGAACTTCTGTAAGTGCATGCACAAGCAAAGGGCAACCTTTAAGTGCATAAGTTTCAGGTTGCACTGTTGAATTCTTAGTTTTAAAAAAAATCAAATTATTTGATGAAGGTGATTTCCTTACTTCCTTTGATGTCCTTGAGAATTGCTGTTATTTGGAGCAGTAGATAGCGTACATCTAAGACAAATGAATCTGAACAGATCCAAATTTATATTGTCTTGATTTGTCAGCTTACATTTACCTTTAGAGCTCTTTTTTTAGTGCAAGATTCATACGATAAGAAACAGGGTTTCTTTTTATTTTTTGTTCAAAAAGAGCAATGGTTTTCTGAAATGGAGTGCCTTTTTGCTAATGTCAATCTTAGTACAGTTCCATTGACTTTAAATTACACTAAAACACTTTTTAAATTGCTGGTAAATGTCATCTCAAAATTCAGTTAGTTGGCTATGTATTTGTGGATATGAATATACTTCACAAAAAAAAAAAAACAGGCTGTATTTGGAATGAAGTAATGGCTGCCTAGATGACACTAACTTAAAGTACAATCATGGTAATAGAGTCTTCACTATTACCACCGGTAGCAAGAGTTGCTTGGCAAGTGGGGAACTATATAATGGAATGAATGAATGAATCATCGGTATGAATGAATCAACACATTATGGTATCAAAAATTATGTTTCAAGCTTTATGTAATTTTCTTCCACATAATATTTCAGTAAGCTGGATTCTTAAAAATATTTTTGTTTAGTCAGTTTATTTTGATAACGCAAAAGCTTCTGGCATGGTAAATTTTTAACCTATTTATTAATTAAACTTCTGAAATATTTTACAGTATAACTATAAACTCTTGTCACACACCAAAAATTGACCGAGTAGTAAGATTCTGCAAGATGTAGAAAAGTATACATATGGAACAAATACTTTGCATGTAGCCTGAGAGATTAAATCTCTGCAATCTCCCTGTGATAAATTGACTGGGCAATAAATAAAGAGGAAAAAAAAGGCGGGGCGGGGGGGGAGAGAGATGTTGTCTGACATCAGATGTGAATGACTTCTGCCTTAATGAGGGAGATGGCATGAATTAGATGTAAAAAAAAAAACACCTCACCTTGAACTGGATAGCTAATGGATTGACTTGACAAGGCTTTTTCAATCATTCCTATGGCTTTTGCAAGCTAAGTACCAAAACGCTAATTCCACAGTCACTGAAAAGCAGCCCCCACTCCAACTCCAATACCAGTTTCAAGCATATTTTTTGCAACCATAAGAACTAGAACATTTTCTTTAAAAAAAAAACAAAACCAAGATGTTGGGATTCCCAGGAAGCATTTTGCACTTTCCCCAATCCCTATAGAATTCTAACATGCAGCCATGAAGATGATTTGGTGTTTGGATCACCCCAATCTAACTCTTCCTAAAGCTTTAAAAATCTTCAGTAGAAATGCAGAGAGTAATTGATCGTGGCTTGTATTTTTTGGTAGAGCTGAATTTATTGTATTGCAATCATCAATGTAAACTATATATTGCATTGCATTTTTTTAAAACATCCTACCTCATATCATGCTTTTTTTTCTTTTTTAAAAAAAGGTATGCTTATTTTTAAAATCAGCATACAGTAATTCCTTTTCAAAATGCAGAAAGCCAGCAGTGCAAAGAGATGATCTTTATCTTAGGCAACTGAGAATGACCCCTTGAAGCAAAGCAAGGCTGTTCAATATTCTGCATTTAGTACAAGAACACTGCTGTTTTCCCCCAATTCTAAATCCTCCAGATATGTTGGATTACAACCCCCACAATCCAGTCTCCATGAACTTCGTCTAATCACTGCTTTAATTACTTCTAGATGTTGATTTAGTGCTTCAAAACTTTAATAAAATTATATACTATACTGAACTTAATCTTAGTTTCAGAAATGTCCCGTGATTCACTGATCTTTCTGTCTCGTAGTTATCATCCTTAAATTAGATAGTATGGCCACGTGGCTTTTTAAAATGAAACATTTTTCAGTGGGCATGTTTCGAGCTTAGTTATTATTTTGGCTTAATGGAAATTAACATTTGACTTTGTAAAATTCTAGGGGGAAAGTTGCCTGATTATAAAACTGCAACACTGAAAATTAATGTCCTTATGCATGTCTTTTCAAAGATCTCCAGTAAACATTAGCTATAACAGTAACTGATTTATACAGTTTTTCCTCTTTACATTTATTTATCATTTATTTCTGTAAACATCTTTTACATCTGTTTATAATTCTGGTAATATGTATTATGCCCATATATGCTTTAAATGAGTAGCTTAATATTTGTCCCATTGTATATTAAATTCTAGAAAGCATGACATATCAGCCAAAGCAGATACATTGTATTTATTGTGTTTGATACATTGATACAAAAACCTTACAAGAGTTTATCAAAACACTACTGATATGTACAACTGTAATTGTTGCTGAATGTACACGGAGTGCAGTAATATACACCAGATTTGAGAATGGATAAATCTCAGTACTGTATTTATAGGGGTAAAAAATGGTCTGCTAAAACATTTCCACTTAGGTTGTGAAAAAGCTGGTCATGTTTCAGTGACATTGAAATCAGACTAGAATTTGTTGCACTGATTTCAAAAGGATATAGAGCACACATGAAAATTGCCACTTATTCCAAGTTCAAAATTCACATTGAAATCAATCAGTTATGGTTGGCAATATCACTTGAAAGATAGCTGGTCCAACAACATTGACCTTCTGGTATAATATACAATGGTAAGAAAATGTCAGGTGTTTGGGGATTAAAATGTTGGAAGCTCTATAATGCCTCTAAGGAACAGAGTACACACATTCTTGTACATGCCCCAGAGTTAATTTCTTAGCATGCAATTTCATGTGGAAAGTATTCCTTGAGCATGAAAGCAAGTGCTTTGACATTGTATACTAGCTATAGATGACCAGAATTGGAAGCTGTTACATATTTTGCATGTTTTTCTCTTAAATATTTTTATAGGATGTCTCTGAACAGCTGAAAACTTTCTTTTCGCCTTTTTTGTAATGAATGTCAGGGATCCAATTGGTTTTATCTCTAAAGCATGGGGAAGGTTGAAATTCCAAATAAACATTATGGAATAAACTCTTGGATGCTACTGAACATATTTCATGGACAGGATTTCATTGCAAAAGTTAGCAGATAAGAGATTTGATGAGTTCTCTAAAAATATAATGATTTAGCATTTTAAAGATAGCTTTGGGGAGTATGAATCTCAAAATATCAATCACATTTCTACTTATATGGAAAATAGTTGCATCACAATCTACTAGTTTCCAGCTTCAATCTAAAAAGGGATTGGGTATGGCTTCCACATGTGTGAATTTTACATAGTGGTTTTTGGAATTCCACATGTCCATGTATCAGGCAGAGCTACCAATTGATATTAATTTGGGAGAACTTTCCTCCTTTTAAAGATCATTGTGGAAAACAGCTGAGTGAAATTTAGAGACCACAATGGAGAATTATTTCCCAAATGTCAAAACAAAAGAATGAAAAAATGGAAGTAAGTGGATAGAGTTGAAATGTACATTAAACTAAAGCCAGTTCTTTAAATAATTTGCATCCCATTTGTTAATAGCTTTGTGGTGTCAGCTTATTTGTAAACATATTTCCATCTCATGCAAAAATATTTTTTTAAATATGGAAGTACAAATTTGTGCATGTAGAGTACTTTGAAATTATTTCATAATAAAAGGTGTACATTTTAAATACATCTACAAGAATTGTCTAGGAAATGTATTTACTCTTACACGGGTGATGTAAATGTTTGAACAATTTTTCTTGCTTGCTTAATAAACACTTCACATTCATACTCTGAATTTGTTGCTTGTATTTCAGTAATGTGTATTTTAAAGATTTTTTTAAAATCAACACTGGACAGACTAGTCTTCAGTAATGTAGATTGATGTATTCAAGTATCTTTTAGACACTTGAAACTCAGTTCAATTCAAAACTGTACTTAAATAATCATCTTTAACATTTTCAAGTATTGTTTCAATTGTAAATTTTCTCTATCTATACTATATCAGGCACCAGTGTGAAGCATTGTGTTTAATTCTCTTCTTCAGAAACTCAAATTCATCTGTTGTATACACAGCTGGATTCATACATAGTATGAAACCATAGTATTTGTTTTGTTTTAGCTTAATATTTATTGTGAATTCAATTATTTAAGCAATTACAGCTTACGGAAATGAATGCTCCAGCTAGTAAATGTGATCAGATTCCACTAAACTCTACAGAGGGAGTGATTCAGTTGCACAGTGACATTTTTTCTTTCTTTTCTTTTTTTAAGGAAAAAAGATTGCTTTCCAGAACCCATTCTGAAACTCGAGTTGGGTAAGAAGTTAGTACAAAAAGAAGGAAGATGAAATTAGATAAAAATATGTTCCCAAGTAGACTTTCCTTATAGAAAATCCTATATTTTTTTGTATGTTGGATAGAAAACATTATAATAAAGTTGGATTTAATGGACATCTCTTCCTATCCATTAAATCGTATTTGTACTGTTGAGTTCAATGAAAATGTGTACAGAATTGGCTTTGCGCTCTATCTAAGCATTAACTGGATCTAAATGCTTTCCTTTATCGAAGAAACACCAACATTAATTAGATACTGCTAATGCTGTTATAAACAAGCCTAACTGTGCTTATTTGGGTTTGACTTTAGCTGCTTCTACTTGGATTCCAGTTCAACTGTGACTTTTGAACAAGAAGAAAAGGAGCATTGGGCTAAAATGAATTGATCTGGTATTAAATTGAAATTCAAGGTTATAGTTTTAAACCTTTTCCTCCTTCCAACCTGATTTAATCCAAGTTAATTATATTTACCCTATTGCTTTGTAGTAAATGGCAAATTTATATTGTGACTCTCCTGGAAATATTCCACAAGGTGTGCCTTACAATAGGCCTCTCAGTGAAACAGAGGCGTCCTTGAAACTTGTCTAGCATTTATGACCTCGATTTATGGCAAACAGCTGAGCCCAAAATTTCCATTGCTAATAAGTGAGTTGTGCCTCATTTTATGTCCTTTTTGCCACTGTTGTTAAGCGAATCACTGTAGCTAATCATGTCACTAAGGAAATCTGGTTTCCTCCATTGTCTCTGCTTGTTGGAAGCTGGCTGGAAAGATTACAAATGATGGTCCCATGATCCTGGGACAGTACAACTGTCATAAATACATGCCAGTTGCTAAGTTTGAAGCATATTCACACATCCCCAAATCCTGTTTATTGTCCTGAGTGGCAAAAGTGGCAGAGTAACTGAGTCGCAGAATAAAAGAAATTTACTTTTCTCTTACACTTATTCGAGAACTTAATTGATGTCCATTCCTCAGAACCTCAATTATTCATGGAGGAGAAATTTTCAGCTAAAAATCAAATCAAGTTTTACAGGTAGTCCTTGACCATAATGGAGCCCAAAATGTATATTGCTAAGTGAGACAGTTAAATGAGTTATGCCCCATTATATGACTTTCTTGCCAGTTAGGTGAATCACTCGTTGTTAAAAAGAAAGTTAAGTGAATCTGGCTTCCCCATTGACTGTTTGCCAGAAGGTTGCAAAAGGGGATCAACGTGATCTGGGACCATGCAAATGTCATAAATAAATGCCAGTTGCCAAGGTCTGAATTTTGATCGCATAACTAGGGGGATGTTACAGTGGTCTGTGTGAAAAATTCATACTTTTTTCCAGTGCTGTTGTAACTTGAACAGTCACTAAATGAATGGCTGTAAAAATCAAGATTACCTGTAGTTGGCCTTGGATTATGAGGGTTAATCTTTACTAGTAAAATACTCACCTGATACTTGCTGATAAGGGTAGTTGTCAACCTAAAAGCATTTGTTCAGCAATGGTTTGCAGCAGTCTTTCTCTACTTGTACTGAATTACAACACACATATGTCTTTTGTTGTTACTTAATGTATACCCTTAGCAGTGTCTTCCCAACTCTGGGACAGGCTTAAATGTTAAATGTCTTACATGAGCAGACAAAAGAACTATAAGATACGAGTTTTTTTTTTTAAAAAAAAAATCAGCCTGTCTGTCTAGTTAAAAAAAAAATTCCAGGAACTCTAATCAAGAAGCAATGCTCTAGTGATAACTGGCCTGAGTAAATTTGTGTGTGTGGGCACGCACATGTTCTTAGCTTCCCGAAGAAGCAGAAGATTTTGTGGGAATCCACTTCAAAAACTCTGGTATAAAGTTTAGTAGGCTTTGTCACTCATTATTATCCATTCATTAACCTGGAAGGAAGTTAAATGATTGCAATGAGTTGGAAAGAGGTAATAGAGGTAGATTAGGAATCCGCAAAGGGGGTAGAGAGCAAATTTTATGCCCGTCTAGTTTTCTGCTCTCATGAATGAGTAATACTTTAACTTATCAGTGGGAAACGGTCCACAGACAGCAGTTTCCTAGAATGAAGATGAAGAGCTACTTTTTTCCTTTGAGAGGTTTAAAATATTTATGTGTGATGCAGGCCTTTTGTCGTCTCATATGGTATCTGCACACTTCAGTTACCAATGCTACGTGCTCCCAGTCCAACCCCTTGCTTAGCAATCCACAACGAGAGCATCTCCAGGAGATGGCCTTCCAGCCTCTGTTGAAATACTTCCAGGAAAAGAATAGCCACCATCTCTGGAGGCAGACTCTCCCATTGCTGAAGGTAGGGATTTTTTTCTTGATCTGCTTTCTCATAATTAAAACCAATTTTGTGTCTGTTTTCTGAAAGAATCCTGAAAAAAAATCTACTCTTTTTCTCCATGACAGTTCATCAGATACAGATAGTCCTTGTTTAGTGATTGCCTCGTAGAGCAACTATTCAGTTACAACAGTGAAGAAAAAACATCTGTGCGTGACCAGTCCTCACATTTACGACCTTTTGTCTGTAATGCAAAGGAAACCCGAAGTAAAATCATCACTTAGCAATCACTTCTGCTCAATGACCAAGTTGCCAATCCCAGTTGCAGTCATTAAACAAGGGCCACATGTACTTGAAAAAAATAGCTATCTTCTCAAGGCTAAATGTTCTGAGTGCTGCCAACTATATTTTTCCTTCCAAAGTTCTTAATATCTTATCTTCCTCAAAACACACTTCAACTTGTTAGTGTCTTTCCCAAAATGCAGTGCTGACAACTGGATTCAATGATCCAGACATGATCTTACCAATCTGAACAGAGAAGAACAATGAATTACTAACTTGACAATCTACTTCTGTTGACGCAGGCTAGTTCCATGTCAGCAGCTATATCAGTGTTGATTCGTGCTCCATTTGAGATTCACCAAGACATACAGTTCCTTTTTGTATGCACTATCGCATATCCTATACATATGCTTTTGATTTTACTCACAAAAACGGAGGATTTTGCATTTGTCCTTGTTGAAACTGATGTTGTTGAGATTTTCCTGAATCTTGATACTGGTTCCTGAGTTATTTGGTATATCACTTTTTATGTCACCTGCAAATCTGATAATCCTATTTTGTAAATCTTGTCAAAGCCACATACAGATAAGCTAAGCATACAAACCCTGGAGTATACCAATATAACATCTTCCAGTGAAACTCAGAGTCAATGGCATACATTCTACACTTGTTAGACAAAATAATGTTCTATTTTTTTATCCAATTGGTAAGATAATTAATTCAGGAATATTTTCTTCAAGACTGTGCATTCTTGTTTGTTTTTAGTTGGCTGTTTAAAAGGTAATCAGTAACCTTATTGCTAACATTTTCATCTTACTGCTTAACTTTACCATCAGGTAATACTTAAAACCATGAATACAAAAGTAACCTATTCCACATAATGCTGAATTTAATCAAATGTTTAAAGCCATGCTAGTCTCTGTAGTTCATCTTAATGAGCAACTTAATATGTTTGTGTTGCTAGGAGAAACATTTTTTAACAAAGTAACTTGCTTGAGCTTTACATGCAACTTGATATCCATAAGAGAGCAGATGTATCCAAAATAAGACTTAAGAAACAAGAAGGAAATATCAATACTCAACACTCATTTTCCTTTGATTTAATTAAGTATTAAAGATTATTGTTAGGGAAGAGGAAGGCATTTTCCCCTCATAGATGTTCACTAGTCTCTACAGAATGTTTTGGATGATTGCATGAATGGATAGAACTGATACTACACATACACAGCCAACACACACATCACCATTCATACAACCACATCTCCCCACTGAAAGCATAATAGTCATGGGTGGGGATGTTAACCTTCTTTCCCCATTGATCCAGTTCTTTAAAAAAAAACACTGTTCTTACAACCCTACTATTTTTTAAGTGTGACCTCATTATGTTCTTTGCAGTTCCACTGAAGGATATTGTTCTGCTGGGTTGGGAGGGAAGAGTGGCCCATGACCCCAGGCATACAGAGTGGGCAGAGAATGACGGTGACACGCCTATAAATATTCCTAGTCTTTATGGTCAGGGAAAAACAAAACACTATTACAGAATATTCATTTCAGGAAACTGAATTTACTTGTGTTTATTCCACCAAAGGAAATTACCAAAAAAAAAAAAAAAAAAAAGATCCTTCTGGTAGAATTATACTTTACCAGTTAAACATTCAACCGACATTTTGTTTATGTATATATATATCTATAATTACAACATTCAAAATAGTAAGCATTCTTTCATCTTGTGCTTGGCAATCCAACTGTGAAGCTAAGCATCTTGAGCATCAAGAAATCTAGATCAATTAATATTTGATTTGGGGCACTCTTGTAGAGGGAGGGACAATATGCAAAATAAAGTAAAAACCCTACCATCTCAAACCTACTGTTATCTAAATTTTAAGAAAATAATTCTAACACTTGGACAATAATCAACAGAGTTTGGGAGAGCTTTCCTATAAATCATAAATAGGAAATATTACCACCTATTTGCACAAAATCTTGCAGCCAAAATGATTAATTTGGCTGAATTTCCTCTTCCTAACTCACCCATTGCTTACTATTTTGTATACATATATGTTTATTGGCATGATTAAAAATTCACAGAAGCCCTATGTAATATTTGCAGATGTTTTTGTCCCTTCTTTAATATATTCATGGTCCGTCACACGAGTTTATAGACTGAGAATAGACAGGCTATATACAGTATAAAGCAAGGATTTAGGCAATTTTGTCACTTATTAAAAGTGGATGGATGAATCTCTCATGTCAGATTTTTTTGTATGAAGACTCATCTGCATTAAAGGAAAAGCAAAGAGCAAGCTAGCCTTTTGCAAACTCATATATCCTCAATATAAACAACTCGTGAGTGGTGTGTGAAATAGCTCTGCAATTTCTTTTTCAACAGAGTAAAATACTGTGAAAAATTGCAATAAACATTTCATTTTGGTATGCAAAAATTCTGCTTCACTAGACCTTAGATTGATGTAGAGCAGGGCTGTCAAACTCCTGGCCTGTGGGCCGGATGCATCACACACTGGCCACACACACACTCGGTTTAGGGAAGGGGAAAAAAATTCCCTGATATATGAGTTTGACACCCCTGATGTAGTGTCTAACCCATTCAATCAGTTGTACTGTACCAGTAAATAATACCTGGAATTTTATCCTGTTTACTTTTAGTTAAGTTTACCAATTTGTACCAAACTTTCTAAACCTGGAAAGTGTATGTGTCTCTCTCTCTCTCTCTCTCTGTGTATGAGTAAAAGAAACCACCACCCTGGATTAGAATATTTCACCAAATCAATACTTTAAACACCTAATTGACATTGAAAAATTCAGTGACAGTGCAAGTTGGAGAATATTTTAAAGCTTTTCAGTGCTTTTCTCACTCTTTCATCTATAGTCAACAACCACTATTTAATAGTAGAGATACATCCTACTATTTCTAAAATTTAATACTAATGATGACAAGATGTCATTTGCATCAGTAGTGCTCCAAAACTACTTGGAACCTGTTTTAGAACAAGAGTTTTCTCTTCTACATTTGGCAGTCTCTTTTCAAAGTACAATAATATTCATAATCATCATCATAAAAAAACCAAGAGGGGGGACATGAAGCTTCATGGAAACTCAAAGTCCACTTATTACAAAAAATGCTACCATTTGTTACAAATGGTCAAACAACAAATTAAATATCAGGGTTTGTTTGTTTTTTGCTCTGCTATTTTCTATGAAGTGCATTCTTTGGATCACCAGGAGTGTTGATTGAATAAAGCTGAACGTGACCTGGAGCAAATTTTCATAGGCCAGCATGAAATTTAGTTTATTATGCTTTGAGTGAATCAGTCCGCTGGCTTTATATTTCAGGAAACTTCTCGGTTAATTGTTTTAGTCATACAGCTGCCACATCCATAGATTGGAAGGCTAAGAACAAGACTGAATAAAATTATATTTTGAACTAGTTAGGCACTGCATAAATATTTGATATCCATACCAACTGAAACCACCATTTGTTGGCAATTTAGTTTCTCAAATGTTATGGAGTCAGAGATACTTGCGAGTGTGTTCTCATTATATCTTGGAAACTGACAACACAGGATTGTCCGATGCTCAACTGAAGAGAGAAAATTAATAACCAACTATAGTAATTTAAGCAAGAATTCATAAGTTGCATTAATTATTCCCCAAGAAATCAGGGACCGGTGATAATTTAGATGGGCCCCTCGGAAGAGATGTGTCAGTTTCCTGTCACGCTCCACCCAAATCTTCATAAAGACTGTGGAAAAAGACTGGAATTCCCCACCAATCTGTGACTGCATGCGGGCTTTGACAACATTCAAAGGGAAAAACATAAACCCCAACATAGCACCCAATACCCCTCCGCATATAAAATCATTGATCAGATGAGTACTGTAAGTTGTTGCTTCTGGCAGGCACTGCTTGATGGGCCCTCGCAGGCCAAAAAAGAGAGCGTTGCTAGGACCGTTCCGAAGTAGGATTGGCACCAAGCCCCGATAATATTCCCTGGCCCCATGCTCTCGAAGAACCCTGAACGCTTGGTAGGTGTTTGTAAATTTGTCATGATGTTTGTAGTCCTGCAGAAGTGTCTGCACACGCTCAAAAGGGGTCAAGACAGCTTCTGTGGTCCCAGCAAGCACAGCTGCCAAGCTCCGGGCAAAGATTTCAGGTGCACTTATGTGTCTGAGCAGCACGGAAGACAAATCTTCATATAGGCCAAACATCAGTGCCAAGGTTGTGCTCTTCTGCATCAGCGGAGGAAGGATACCTCGGTACAAATTTCTGATTCCATCTTTCTGTAGCTGACATATTGCGTCTCTGGTTCGTACCCCATACAGCTGTTGACGAAAGAGGACTTTCTGGATTGGGAAAGTTACTGCAATGTTTGTAATGGCTGCACAATAACCACAGAAGTAATGTTTACCAGAGTTCACTTTTACAATGCAATTACCAGTTTGATCTTCCTTTGCCTTGTTCAGCAAAAGGTCTTCTGAATCCGCCATGCTGCTTGTTGTGTTCTCATATAGGTATTCTCTTCTCCTACAAGAAGTAAAGGTGATTGAACAAAGCCAAAATCTACTTGCTTTCATTTCAGATGAAAAAAATAACCACATTAAGAGGTTTAACTGGCCTCTTCATTAGTTTTCTGAAAGGTCTCTATTTTTTATGCTGAATTTCAGGGAATGTCCAATTTCAAAAGTACTAAGAGTATGTTTTCAACTTCTGCTTTCCTTGTAATAAATAAAACACTGTGAAAATATTTTCATATATTGTATTATAAAAGATTCAAAAATATTTAATTTCCATGGTCTCGGCCAACTGATACTACCCTCCTTCCCAATGTTCTTCTTTGTTCAGTGTCTTCTCAGCTGAATTAATATTTAGACAGCATCTTACATATAATGCATATCAGCATTTTAAAATATACCTTATTCCAGCAAACAGGTCCCTGTTCTCTTCAGTAATAAATTAATTTCATTAAAAAATAAAAATAGCTTTTGACTTCCACAGAGCTACAGGTCTTCCCCTTCTAGCTTATCCCTTAGATTCAAATAAAATAACGGATGCAGAGACACGGTTGAGATTTCCAGCATCTTAAAAAAATTAACCAGCCTAAAGAACTTATTTTTTCCAATTAATGAAGAATGAAAAAACTGCAAACCAAATAAAAGAAACAAAAATAAAAAATAAGAGCCTAAGATGCTTCAGTTTGCTTTTGTTTTGCCTTATTAAAACTTGTTTTCCTTTTTTGTCAACTGATTTTATTCAAATACATTATACTAAAATATGATTTAGCAATAGCTAGTGACTAAGTCTGTATTTATTTAAATTTGCCAAATACTTATTTTTTATCTTGTTTTGTCCTGTCTACCCTAATTCCTTATTTTTATCTTATTTTTTATGTGTCCCTGAGTCAGTGTTGACTCCTGGCAAACTGCCTGAACTAGTTCCTGTGGTTTTCTTGACAAGGTTTTTCAGAAGTGGTTTGCCATTGCCTTCTTCTGGTGACATTTTAAGGAGCTCAACTGGAGCCTATATTCATTTTTCCCCATTGCCAGACAAAGTTTGTTTTGTCTTCCTATGTATTATCTGTATAGCTCTACCAACTGCAGTATCAATAAATAAAACCATCATGGTAACCAGGTATTTATATCTGGCAAAGAAAACTAGATTATGCAGTAGTCTGAAGTGCAAAGCATTCCAGCTTTTTTATGGTCGAATTACCTTTATTTTTTTCTATTACGTAATCAACATTCGTTGCTTCTATTAAGTAATTAACATTTGTTGTAGAAGTCTGCTACTGATCTGCCTATAAACCTGCCTTTCCAGTTACATTCCTGTTTGAGCAAAAGCAGGTCATTAGCAATCATTTTAAATCTTCCTCTTACATTTCTTTTTACCCACGCGTTGCCTATTTCTTCATGTTTTCATTTTCAAATTTTCCATGGAATTGTCCTGAAACTGTCTCCCTCTCTCATTTCCTAACTTCAATACAAGAAGGAAATAAAACACAGAAGTTTTATCCCATGTCAGTTTAGCACTAGAAGAGGCTAATTTAGGAAAAAATAAAAAGATAATGGGAATGGGAATATTTTATTGCAAATGAACTTAGAATTGGAAACCAGAAAAATACAAGTGTGGATTTTGAAAAGAAAGAAATACCATCCTTTAGCTCCATATATTACTCTTAACAGGAAGAATGGAATGAGCTGAAGTTCCAGAAACAAGTACAGATGGAGTACAACACTCTCTATTCTAGTAACTCTTTTCCTCAATTTTGCACTTCCTTAGAAGGCATTCTATACTCTATATAGAATATTTTACTGTTCTATCCTGTTAAGGCAGTATAGAAATCAAACATATGTAAAAGATACTGTTTCCAGCAATTACAATGTACCAACTATAAACACATAAAAAATGAACAACAATGAAAGACGATTGGTCTAGTGAGACAGCATTGTTCTAACTACATTGGGGATGTATGAAAAGACAGTGGTAATTTATCACCATATTGATAAATTATCAATATAGGGGGAGGAAAATGGACTACTAATATATAGCCAAATTCAGATAACACAACACCTCACTTCTCAGCATAATATGGACTGCATCCATGTGACAAACAAAGAAGAGTGGAGCATTTACTAAAATGTAAGGACAGGACAATATGAAAATTTGTAATCCCCGCACCAGGGACACATTAAGAGCTAATCTGTATATTAGTTTATTCAAGCTGCTTTCTCAACAACACCTGCCAAGATGTGATAATAATAGCTTAAGAAAACATAAGTTATCAAAATTGTTTGTACTAGTTCACATGAGGGAGGAAGTTACTTCTTTCTTTTTTTGTGGTTTGTATTATTTTTTACTTTAATTATACTTAATAAAAATTAGTGATAACCTAATAAAAGTGTGAAAACAATAGTCTACATTGGGATACAAATTTTATTATAAGGAAGCCATTGCAGTGAAAATGAGATAATTACCTTTCCTATATGATACAAAACAAGGTTTTCTCTGTATAAGTAGCATTCTGGAGCAGGTCTTCAAACTGTTTTGCCTAAAAAGGAATCAATAGTTTTTGTTTTATTTAGTTGCAAAAATATGGCAGCAAAGGCATAGAAAATTAGCTCTAATGCTGTCTAGTGCTCATCATGATTTGTTTATTTAAATAATATTTAATTTATATTTTACCTTTTGCCTTAATTTACTCAATTCACCATCTGTATTTATAAAACTTATCAGCTTCTCTATAGCCACTATGGTAAATTTTCCCTATTTGGATAGGAAAAATACTTCCTATAACTTTCTTCTTGAGCATGATGAGAGAAAGATTTTAAAGATACAGATCCCCAAATCACATATTTTTACAATTTGAACAGATTTTAGATGCTACATAATTGAATAGCATTCAAATTACACCATTATTTACGTAACGCCTTCCAGAGTCTGTAATCAAGCTGGTAGTGAAATGTTTATTATCTAACATTTAGCTAGTCTTTCCTTGCTGTTTTCACCTATTACTTGTATTTCATCATAACTATATTGGCTTCTCACTATATATCCTTTCAAGTATAAATCCATTAGAAGCAAGTAGAGAAACAGCTGCTATCTTGTTTTCATCAATACATTTGACAACATGCTTCTTGATGTAAATTTAAAGCAAATAGTTATATATACTGATATTTGCTATTTTTGTTATGAGTTACTTAAACCAGGGGTGTCAAACACATGTCATCACAGCATTGACACGTGATGTATGACTTTTTTCCCCTTTGCTAAACCAGGGATGTGTGTGCCCAGCACCTGATGCATCCAGCCCAAGGGCTGCGAGTTTGACACCCCTGACTTTACATGCTTTATATTTCAAATATAAGCCAAATATATTTTCAGAAAGACCTTTGTATTCCAGGAATTTCAAAAATATTCTCAGTCACTGCAATACTATAAAGTAATTCAGTAACATAATCTCAGTACTGTAAAGATGAAGTACATATGATTTGTGCCTGAAATATTAAAACTACACACAGCTTAAAATTATAAGTATTATATTGTACAACTATTAGTTCCCTTCCCCAAACCAAAATACTAATATTTCAAACTCCATGCCAGAACTACACTTCTATTTAGCCTACTATTCATCATAAAACCTGAACACATTTTGAGATCTTGCATGTTTTTGCAAATTTAGAGTTGGTCTAATATATTCTATTGGGATGCAAACGTGCAATTTCTTTCATAGCCATCACACTTCATCCAATTCGTTGCATATAATAGGCCCTATAGTGCAAACTAAAGTGAAAACGCCTACTATAAACAATCCTCAGCAATTCAAAACTTAGCATGGTAAATATATATCAAATTACCAGTTATACACCAGGAAAAAGTTTTTTTTTCCAAAAATGCTTCTGCTTATTAACGGGTGCATAAGCATTTAAAATGCTTGTGCTTGCTTATGCTTATTAAATGCTTATTAACGGGTGGCGACTATAAGGCCGAGACCTCATACACATTATGCACATACAGTAGGCACGTATTTTGGGCTAACGCATGAAGCCTGTTGCAACTGAAGAGAAATGCATTTGATTTGGTCCCTGCAAATTTTGGGGGGGGTGCCATTTTAGGAGCGCATACCCATCTATACAACGGTTCGTCCTGACTTCTACAAAATTAACCTACCGCGGGACATTGAGTCAACGTTTCGAGGGCCTCGTTGTTAACCCCGCTGCCGTGCTTTTCAAAGTAAGACGGTTCGTCCCATTTTTACCCTATACAAAACATGCATGTCTTTCCACGCTCAAGAGAAGCAATAAAAATTAAAAAAATAAAGCGAAAGGCGGGATGCAATCCTGTTTGGGGGGGGGTAGGTAATATATTAACAGAGTCTGGGATTGGTTAACCAGAAACGCCCTTATCTTCTCCTCGCCCTGCCTTTGCCCCGAGGTCAGCCGCGAGCACCTGCAGCACAGCCCGGCCCGCCGCCGCCCCCGCCGCTCTTTGCCTTTCCCCTCCGCATCTCCATTTTGCCCGCCTGCCCGTTTGCATGCTCGCCTGCCGTCTTTGCCTCTCCTTCCGCCACCTCCTCATCTCCAAGCCGCTCCTCAACAATCCCCGCCAATTCACTGACCCGCGCGGGCTTCCTTCATGGCGGTGGTGGTGGTGGAGGAGGAAGCATCGCTGCTCCTCGCGCGCACGTTGCCACCCAAGGCCGGCAGACAACTCTCCGCCAACCCGCCCGTGAGCGACGCGCAGCTGCCTGAAACTGACAGGGAAGCTTCCCCTCCCGGGCCGGCCGGGACAATAAATAAATAAATAAATCAGCTCCTTTCGCCACGCCCTCCTCCCGCGCGCCGCAGAGACGAATGACGCCACCAAACGAAGGGCGCGTGACCAGCTTTCTCCAATCCGCTCGCTCGCCTTCCCGCGGAAAGGCCGGGAGGGGGCGGTGCGTTCGCGCTCCAAGCGAGCTTCAAACGAAGGAAGAAGGCGGGCTGGGTCGGGTCGGGTCGGGGCCGCTCTAGCGAATGCCTTGGCTGTGCAAAGGGGAGGGAGGGAGGGAAGGGTGGAAAAGGGCTTCCTGTTTTGCCTGATTGGAGGCGGCGCCGCTGGAGAAGATTAAAGGCGAATGCAGAAAATTCCGGCGGTTGTTTCGCCGGGTCCCACCGGTTCGAGCCCTGAGTAGGATGAAGTATATGTGTGGGTGGTGGTGGTGGTAGTGACACACAGGGCTCCCCAGTGATGGGGAATATCGACCTCCAATAGTCAATAAAGGGCTGGGAGACAAAAGAGTAGGAGTCAGTAAATCTATGTACATAAAAGCGAAATACCCCTCACGCATCATCACGAAATTTCCAGATCCGTAAAGCCTACAAATTTGAAATTTGGCACGTATTTTCCTCTTGGCTTCTAGGTGTTCACTAAAAAAGGATTTTTCAAAATGACCATCAGAGCATTAGTATTTCCTGTATTATTATTAACATGTTCTGATGCTAAGGAGTTCTACTCCCCTCACCCAGCTAAAAAGAAATCTGTTCCAAATGCAAAACACAAGCAGAGGAGAGGAGTTTCAGGTTCAGTTTTAGTTTCACAGCAGCAACCAGCTGTAATACAGAACAGTCGAGATAAGCCATGCCCAGGCTCCTTGCTGTCTCCTTGCTCACACAGCAAATACGGTTTCAGTTTCCAAACAGCCCTCAAACCTCTCACACACTGACAGAATGCTAGCCAGATGAATACTTAAGGATGCTGGTAGGCAGAGGCACAGTTTTTTCATCTTATTTTCCTCCCGATCACATAGTTTTGTAGCAAAGCACGGGTACCCTGCTAGTGGTTGATAAATGATGAAACATCATTAGATCAGTTAATGGGGGGGCACCTCTGTAAAATTCCATTCCAGTCTTTCTAATCCTGAAAAAGGTGGCTAGGGGGGAATCTTGTGTTACCCAAGGTGAGATGGTAACCAGCCGCAAGAGTCCATCATCACAGAGTCAGCCAGATGTTCAGACGAGTTGGCATTTTTATCCACCTATCGTCCTTCCCAAGGACCTGGGATAGGCAGATATGGGTGTTTTATGTTTACATTGCACGATATAAGCTGTTCTGAGTAAAGCTGCTTTTTGGTGAATTTGTCAATGCCGATGGGTCAGTGGTGGGATCAAAATTTTTTACTACCGATTCTGTGGGCGAGGCTTGGTGGGCATGGCAGGGGAAGGATACTGCAAAATCTCCATTCCCTCCCCACCCCACTAACCTGCTTTCCAGCTCCGTTTTCCTGTGCAGGGCAACAAAAGAAGACCCAGCCGATCAGCTGGGACTCAGGAGGCAGAGAATAGATGCGGGCAGGGCCAGACAGAGGTGGTATTTGCTGGTTCTCCGAACTACTCAAAATTTCCGCTACTGGTTCTCCAGAACTGATCAGAACCTGCTGAATACCACCTCTGTGGTGGGTGTTCAAGCTGTTCTCTAGTTGTTTTGGAGTTGCAACCATGAGTTATTAGTATTGTTACCACCTTTGCTTTCTTTTTTCAGTTGTTCTAGTTCTATTTGCAGGTCTTTGTATTTGGTTATCTTCTCCAGTTCTTTCTCTTCTCTTCTGCTGTCTCCAGGCATTGCCAAATTCACTAGCCAGACTTTCTAAATTATTATTTGTAAGTACTGTTTGTTAAATTATTATTTAATAAATTATTTATTAAATATAATATTTGAATGCTGATGAAGAGACTCTAAAGTTTCATGAAGAGTTGAATGAGCTTAAGAGTTTGGGGACGCCTGTTTGGAAGTGATGTAGCATTAGCTGGTTAGCTTCTTTAATGGCCGTTTGGGTGTGGATTTGTGTTTAACAGGTAGAAAATCGCTCCGCTATATCTGCAGAGCAGTCAGACAAAGAATTAAGGGACTCCAGGCCCCCCCAGATGGCATTTCGCTCAAGGCATCTGTTGAAATGGACATGTGTGCCAGCAACCACTGTCACTGTAATAATGTTAGTCTTTAAAGAGCCATGAAACCACAGAATATTACATTATTTATATGATGCTCAGGAAATGATTGAACAAAAAAAATTATAAATACACAATAAAAATGATTTACGAGACTGAAAAGAGATAAAGTGTCTTATTTCCTTGCTAAGAAAGATTTCTAAAATATTATGTCCTAAAAATATTGTTTATTTGAAATGGCTTATGACAATAAATAATAAAGCTACTATCAGAGGATCCTGTGTGTAGAAAAGTACTTCCCAATGTTACTTTCGACAGCATCACCCCAAAATAGTACATAGTAATGCTTTTTTAACTTTAAAAAAAGAATTATTGTAAATACTGATTCATTCCCATATAGTAAATGTTCATCTCTGACTTAAAGCAAATAATTATTTTTTTAAAAAAAACAGATGTCAGCTATTGTTTCACATGAGGGGAGGGAAGGGAAGGTATAGATCTCAGCCCCAAATCCTTCAATCCCATTTCTCTTTACACAATACTTACTTTGTATTTCTCAGAAAACAACTAGCAAAGTTCATCAAAAAATCGCATGAGGAAATCACTGACATACACATTTACAAACAGACGTCTAGGAAATCCTACTTCTTAGCAAATAAGTAAACTAAGAGAGTACATCGGTGGATATTCCTACTCCTACTGGGTAGCCCAATGTACCTACCTCTTTTATGAAGAAAAAAGGTAGCTCATTGTGTATCTTATAGGTCACAATTATAATACAGTTCCTGAAGTATGTAACCATTAAAGATTATTACCTTTTCCCTATCATCTTTTGATGATGAATTTGATTTCAGGGTGGTTTATCATCAGATTTGCATGAATATTCAAATATTAGCTCCCTCTTATACTTATAATGGGTATTTTGCAGTAATGTTATTTGGATGAGCGTCTAATTTGCCAGGTTTCATAAAAGATATAAATCATATTTTTTCATGATATTGTCCTTGTTTGGACAATTTGGTTACTTAGGGGAGCCCACTCTCCACACTGAATTAAATAGGGCATCTCATCAGTTCCTTCAGTGATACAACCTTTATGCTAGAGGTTCCTATTTGTTTTACCATCACACCTCCCTTTACTGTAATCTTAATGTACACCGCTCCCCTAAAAATACAAACACCAACATGGACACAAATGAACAATAAATGCAATTCAACTTCAGAATAGCTGTAAAAATGTGTAAGTAAGTTTTTTTGCACCTCACCTGGACTCTGCACCACCATAAGGGAGATAGTAGACTTCAGCTTGGGAACCCTGCTCTATGCTAATTTTCAGAAATGTCTTTAGATTTACTGTATTTAGAATTACTGTATTTCCTTGAAAAGGATTATTTAAATTAAGTATACCATATTCTGTTTGGAGGGGATATATAAAATGGTAACTAATTTTATATTAATTATACTGTTGGTTTGCCTTGCCAAAAAGAGATTCTGCTGTTGATGAATATTGGTGGAGATTGTTGGTGGAGATTTCAGAAAATCAAAGTCTGTTGCTGTGCTTGAAGTCTGATACTTGCATTTTCACCATACTTTTTCCCTATTGTCTTTGGGCAGGAACATTTTAACTAAGCACTGCATTCCAGCCTCTCATAATGTTTACTTTATATATAAGAATGCCGCGGGGCTCAAGTGAGACTCTGACGTAGTCTTGGAAATAAAGATGTGACTCAATGGTTTATATTATAGCAGTTTCTTATTTAAGATATATCTCTTTTAGCTTTAAAAATATTTAAAGAGAGTTCAGCTTAATGTGCAAAGGAAGCTTTGCATGTGAAGGATTTCTCTGCAGACATGCTGATATGAGAGTCTTAAAAAGCTCATAAATACAATAGTATTGTTGAAAGGTGTCAAAATGCCTTTTTTTCGACTTCCGGTTTGAAGGGCTTCGGCGACAGACAGGAATGCATGACCCTGCGCGGTTTTTGCCTGGGCTCGTCACTGGAGCGCCCCAAGCTGGCTGGCTTCAGGGCTAAGCCACCCCGTAGAGGTGGTGAAGAAGGGGGAGACTGCCAGCAGGGTCGAGGAGAGCCGCATCTCTCCTCCTCAGCTGGCCATTACTCCCTTTCCCGAAGGTGGTAGGAGCGGCAGTCAGAAATGGCCGCCTCAAAGAAGAACTCAACCAGAAAAGAACGTGCAGGAGGAAAATAAGAAGTGAAAGTTTTGGCTGACCGGGCTAAGTTGAAAAAGCAATAACTAAGGTACCCTGGAATTTAAATTTTACAAGAAATAATATTGCTCCCAAAGAAGATTCGGAAGCAGCGAAAGAAAGTGAAAAGGGAAAGGTTTGACTTTTTTTCTTCTCTCTCCTTTCTTATATTGACAATTAAGAATAAGAAGTTAGAAAAATCCACTTTGGCATCAATAGGCAATTAAGCTGAAAATATAACTAAATGCCAAAGGGACAATAAAGATTTCTGGATATTAAAAAAAATTTCTTCTATAAGCAGGAAGGAAGAGAAAAAGAATAAGGGCAGGATCTGGAAGAGGGAGGAGACTGCCTGGACTTTAAAAGAATTTAAAGTAAAATTTCAATAAGACTTCTAAAAGATACATTTTAACTGAAACTTTGCAATTAAATAGTAACCCCAGAAAGAGAAAGTGGTGGGGGGGTGGGGGGGAAGGAAGAGCAAAAAGAAACATCTTGTGTGTATTTGGGTTACTTGGTGACTTTTGGATTTTTGGCTACTATATTTGAATGACTAAAATCAATTGGGTGGTTGTTTAAAAATTTCTACAATGGCAT